TTTTTTATAGATTCCTGAAACAATGTTCCCTTTTTCTTTAAAGTAGATTAGCGCAATAGTCTTTTTCTTCCACTTTTACCCTTTTATCAAAAGGGTGCTTTAGGCTATTTTTGAGGGGTAAAATGCAGAATTACTTGTGAGTTCTGTTTTGAGTGAAAAGATTACCCTTTTGAGTGTTTTTCTTGGTTAACCATTAGATATAGTGGCTAAATTCGTTCTAAGTTAATTATGCGCATCCTGCAGGCCTTGAGAATTTAGTCACACAGTTAAGAGAGACAATGGTCCTTTTAGACTAAGGGTGAGCTTACTTCGGGTGAATAAAAGTTCAGAGATGATTGGGGGGGTATGAAGACAGTTAGGCTTGTTGGTGAGCTAGTTCTGAGGATGTCATGGGATAATGACTGTTTTATTCCTAACAAGTATGGCTTTCATAAAGAAACACATGACTTGGGTGATAAGATGTGTTTTGTTGTAAAATGGGCCCGTTTGGTTTTCTGCTGGCCAGCGCTGGGTCACTGTGACAAAGCATATTTTGCGTCTGCCAATGAGAGGACCTGAAAAGATGACCAGCTGACCTCACCCCTTCCTTCTGTCTTCTGGTATATATTCTGTTGATTCCTGACGTTCGGCCTCTCTTCACATGCTGTCAGGACCGGAAGGATCTCCGCAGCACGCGAACAGGGCAGAAGTGGGCCGGCTACTTCTTAAAACATTACAATATGATTTTAGTATATTGTATTATATGGTATTGTAATGTATTATAGTGCATTGCATTATTACCTTTGATAATTAAAACAGATTGTTTAAACTGGTATCTGGGTGTTCTCTGTCTGATTTCCTTCCTGTTATGATTTTAAGCAGGACTCGTCAAAACGACACGCGGAGCAGAGTGGGGTTGTAAAAACCTCAAAACTCCAACACTACCCGTGCGGGTCCGTGATCAGCACGGGGTGGGCCCCTGCTGAAAAGGAAAACCCCCCCGCAGGACTTGAAACGCCCCCTTGATAAATACATTTAATCATAATGAAACCAGCTGCAATGGATCATGGATCCACCAGGGGGAGCCGTGATTAAAAAGCTGCCACACTGGAACTCATGTGAAATAAACAGCTGATCTACAGGTATCTGATATAGCGGATATTTGTTAAGATCCATATGTCACGGATCATATTCTGTGCTAAATAAGAGACATGTAATCATTTACAAAACATCCCCATGTTTTTATAATAAAATAATGTTTAATTCACGTTGGCGTAAGTACAAAACCATCGCTATGTTTTTAGATCAGGAAATGCATCCAGGCTCAAACAAACGATTTTCAATCATCATCCTCACGATCATTTAATGTATCATATGTTCGCGAGTTGAAATGAATGCACTAAATTTAATCCACGTGAGTTTACAACAACAAAAATAATCGCTTTGTTTTTATATCACATCCGACCGGAGGAAAATGCAGCACGGGTCTCACTACTGATCATCCTAATCCCACGGTCAAACAATAATATGTACAGTGTTAATAGTTTACTGTATTATTAGTGTCTAATATTACTGGGGGTTTCTGAATGGTAGCCTACTGGATTTTGATTTATTGTATCGGCTTCATATCGCAATATATTCCCGAAGTCTGAAATGCAAAAATGTCCCACATTAGGGCAATTCACCCTACATTTAATCATTCAAACTAAATCATATTTCGTTTCTTTTTAACGAAATAAATGTGGTTTAATCCACATCATTTACTGTGTTAATTGTTTTCTGTAGTATTGTGCACATTACTTTTCGCTGCTTGTTGCACCCCTGGTTAGAAGCTAAACTGCATTTCGTTGTCTCAGTACCTGCAATATGTGCAATAACAATAAAGTTGAATCTAATCTTGAGCAGGAACAAATGTATTTAGGCTACTTAGTACATATCTGACATAAACGATTAAACACATTTGTGCATTCTTTAAACCGAGTCAAGCCGAGTCCGGAGGTGGCGGCACATTAAAGTGTGCACCTGATTGTTTAACTTGAAGGTGCCTGATGACATTTAATCATTCAAACAAAATCATATTTCGTTTATTTTTAACGAAATAAATGTGGTTTAATCCACATAATTTAGGCCTACTGTGTTAATTGTTTAGTATTGTTTAACTTGAAGGTGCCTGATGTGAACATTTCCAGAAGAACTCTAGCTTGAAAGGCCTTTGTATGTATACAGTAGGCCTACACATAGGCGGCGCGTGAGGCTCAGGTTTGGGAAGGCTAAATAACTTTTTTTTCCATCTTACGCTGCCCGCCCCCGGCGTCTATAGAAAAGAGATCAACTCAGTGAAAGCACCATCTGCTGACCGATCAGAGCTCAGTGTGCGGAGTTTAAATCTATCAAGTCATATTACAGGAAAAAGGAAATGCAGTTTAAACTGCCGTATGCAGAGAAGACGCCGACGTGTCGCACTTATCATTCATATCACACTGACATCACATCATCAATCAGATCATCGATCTCACATCGATATCACAATATTTCCTTATCTGAGTCAGCTTCTCGAGCCGTATCTGGCCGTGCAACACTTAGTTACATTGTCACATATACTGTATGCAGACGTATTATTTTAAGCAACACATTAAGTTGACGAAACACTCAACTCAAATGTAATAAAGTCAGATCCCCTCGTGTTTTAGATGGGGCAGTATCATAAAACTGTTGTACGCTTTCAAACACTCGGTAGTTTATTTTTTAATGAGTTGTTCTGTATTCTCCTTGCAGGTGCAACTATGTGGCTTGTATCCTGGATTATATGTTTAAGTCATCATGGATGTTTAAAGTTCATATTTTTCTAATATTAGTTTACTTTTCATTAATGAAGTATGATGTTGCGCTATCAGTACACTTGTCCCTGTTTGTGATTGGTCAAATGTAGCTAACCCCGCCCCTTTCACGTGAACGCGCTCTCAGCTGGAGAGAGAAACCCTGACTTGATTTACCGAGTTGATAACCAGCGCCGTAGGACCGCTTAGCGAGATCGCGTTTGTTAAGGTTAGTTAAGATAACTCAAGCATATCCAGGGTCTGTTGAACTGGCTTCGTGGTACAGGGCACAGGTGGCTGCATAGCAGCGCTAATGTCAAAGACATTATATTTTTATTTTACCAGGATGCAGTTACACAAATATTTGGGAAGGCTTAGCCTTCCCTAGCCTCCAGCACCCGCCGCCCCTGGGCCTACAGTATAGCCCAACCATGTACACCTTCCCTTTTTCCCGTCCAAAGTTTGAATTGGATAAAGCTAATGGTTATCGATGGTGCTTTTATAGCCTATTGTATAATAACTGTGTGATTTATATTGCTTTTCAAATGCATATGGCCACCCATTTACACTGCTCTTCCCGTCAAGAATATGAATAGAACTTAGTTAGATCACTTTACATTTCTGCAAATTAATTTTTAATCACACACGTCTCCCCGTCCCAAAAATGATAAATAAAATAAAAAGAGGAAACCATTTTCAAGTTCAGTTTTCAACGTTTTATTTAAAATAACTGACACAACAAACACCATACTGTAGGCCTATCTGCTGCGGAAACCAGGACGAGCTATTTCGGGATCTGTTTTTCGGGGGCTCCTCAGTCTCTCATTTACCCGGCTCCTGATTAGGACACATCCTGGGGATTGTGTTTACAAACATTAACCAGACCGTTCACCAGCCCCCACCCCCCATGTTGCCTATGCTGTCCTGTGTTGCGAACTCTTTGTTTAAAACGAATTGGCCATCGGAATGTGTGGAGGAATTCTCCCAAGGGTCACATTCCACAGCTCTCCCCCCCCCCCCCCACTCCTGTGATCTCCCATCCCCCAGTCTGTAGGTTTGTGTTTGCATATTTCTATCCCGTAATTCATACTGGTCCTCTCACGCACATACATTCTCCTTACGGGCCGGCCACACTACAAGCGTAAAATTCGCTTCCAACGCCCCAAAATTTACGCTTGGGGCGTTTCTTCGAGCCCCGCGACCAACAACCAATCAGAATCTCCATGTGAATCTCCCGCCCCGGACATACAAAGTGAAAAACCCCGGTTCTTCTCCACTATTGCTAAAATGGATGCCGGTGTTGTAGCAAGGGTAAGCAGGGTAACTCGTGTGTGTGCAAGGTTGCATTTAGTGTATACATTGTCTCGCATGAGGCCGTGTAGTGTGCGTCGCTTCTGGGTACACCCGATACTCCGAAAGCGTCTACAAAGGGGGGAATACCACCTTCTCGTCCAGGATCTCCGTCTCGATGACCGCCTTTTTCAGAGGTACTTCAGGATGAGCAAGGAGGTGTTCGACGAGTTGCTCGGAAAGGTGGGCCCACTGATTACAAAGGTGGACACCCATCTGCGTATGTCAATCGGCCCCGCCGAGCGACTCGCCATCTGCCTACGGTACGTTTTGTGTATTTCTACTTCTTTAATCTGACTCTGTATAGAAGGAGAGAGAATGCACGAATGATGACTGAAGTCTGTGATTTAGTTCAGATGGGTAACATTAATTAAGATATCTAGGTAAACACAGTATTGCTCCCCTGTGTACATGGCGTGTGTGTCTGTGTCTGTGATCAATGTGTGTGTGGGGATCTGTGTGTCTGTCTGTGTTCAATGTGTGTGTCTGTGTGTCTGTGTTCAATGTGTGTGTCTGTGTTCAATGTGTGTGTCTGTTCAATGTGTGTGTGTCTGTGTTCAATGTGTGTGTCTGTGTTCAATGTGTGTGTGTCTGTGTTCAATGTGTGTGTCTGTTCAATGTGTGTGTGTCTGTGTTCAATCTGTGTCTGTGTTCAATGTGTGTGTCTGTGTTCAATGTGTGGAGGGGGGGATCTGTGGTCTGTGTGTGTGTGGGGTCTGAATAAATATATTTTGTAATCATGTATATATCTTTTTTTCTCAGGTACCTGGCAACTGGTGACTCGTACGCGACGATAGCCTTCAGCTATCGGGTCGGGCGTTCTACAGTGGCAGTCATTGTCAAGGAGGTTACGGGGGCCATCTGGACCGCCCTGGTCGAGGAGTGCATGCCGGTACCACAGGTGGAGGATTGGAGAGCCATCGCTGCTGGGTTCCAGGAGCGCTGGGAGTTTCCCAACTGTGTTGGTGCCATAGATGGGAAGCACGTCGTTATCCAGGCTCCAGCAAATGCAGGTTCCCTCTACTTTAATTATAAGTCCACCCACTCCTTGGTACTGCTGGCTGTGGTGGATGCTGAGTACCTGTTCAGGGTAGTGGATGTTGGAGGCTTTGGGAGGAGCAGCGACAGTGGGAGCCTGCGGAATTCTGCATTTGGAGAGAGCCTCCGAGACGGCAGTCTGCAGCTACCACCTGACACCGTCATCGCAGGATCAGAGCGGCGGGGCCCTCTCCCCCATGTCTTCGTTGGAGATGAGGCATTTCCGCTGCTGGACAACCTTCTGCGTCCATTCCCTGGACGTCACCTCACGAAAGGAAAGGAGGTTATTTAACTACCGCCTCAGCCGTGCCAGGTTGGTGGTTGAATGTGCGTTTGGCATCCTCTCAACCCAGTGGAGAATGCTCAGGCGTGTCATCACCACCAGCCCCGAGGTGACGGAGTTGTGTGTGAAGGCTGCCTGTGTGTTGCATAACTTCCTCCGCAGGAAGACCATTGATATGCCATCACGCACACCTATCGCAAGGTCCACGGATGAAGTTACTCCAACCCTGTGTGATGCACCGAGGATGGGCTCCAACAATGCCACACGGCGATCCATCCAACAGCGGGAGACCTTCTGCTCCTACTTCAACGAGGAGGGGGCAGTGCGATGGCAGGCAAATGTGGTGTAGGCCCATATTTGTCTCCAAACCAAAAAGCTCTTTTAAGAGCTACCCATTTTCTTTAAAAAGCAAATATTCCAAATGAGCCATTTTAAAATCAACCATTCCTAATAAACACGTTTCTTGAATTGATATCATGATATAACTAACAACCTTTTCCTTCAGCCCTGTTTTTAGTGATAAACCACTCATAATTTTCATCAGGGTTTCACCTGAATAATTACAGAAGACAGCACATTATATATCGACATACAAGAAGCTCCTGGTATGTTGTAACTGACAAACCACATGAACAAGTCAAGACACAGTATAGCCATAACATACTTTTAAATAACTTTTATTTATGTGATGTTGTGTCTGATGAGTGATGAGTGTAAAAAGATGTAATGTGGATCAGTATCAGTATCTAATTAATTATTAATGTCCATTTCTGTGGCCTCCAGGACCGCCTCTTGTAGCTTCATTTTCAGTCTCATGCTGCTCGTCCTGCTCAGCTTTTGCATTGCAGGCCAGAGACTCCTTAAAAAAAGGAGGTCCTCGTCTTCCATCTTCTGGCATGGCCAGCATCGGGCCTACGGCCGACAGCAGGTTCTCCTCAAAAGGGGACATCTCCCTTCCCCTGCTCTTCTTCCCCCGGCATGAAGGGCTTTAAAAAGCTCATTACTGCCGCGAGACGCCAGGGCTTAGATCCCCCGGAAGCCCCTGCCCCGCTACTTTTCCCTTCCTTCTCCAGGATCCTCTCCCTGCGGTATTGGTCCCTGAGGGACTTCCAACGCTTTTTGCACACTTCGTCTAATAAAATGAAAATGAAAGAATACAGTTAATTTCTTGAATTTCAGAAAATGATTGCTCCATTAATGAAAACCAAATCCCTTTCAATTGCATACAAGGTTTTACATGTCACACTTTATCAGAATCAAAAACAGGTTTATTGCCAGGTAGCTTTGCACATACTAGGAATTTGACTTGATGTCATGGTGCATATATACAAAACAAGAAATCTAATATAAAACACAACATGTATTGTACAGTTAAATTGCAAAAAGATAAAAATTAAATAAAGCAGTAATTTACATGGAAATAGAATGCTAGGAATGAATTTTTGCATATATATATATATATATATATATATATATATATATATATATATATATATATATATATATATAACTAAGAAATGTGAAAGGAGTATGACATTGTGTGCATTAATGTAATGCAATATAGTCTATGATGTGGCAGCGGATGATTAACATGTATGTGATTAATGTCTATGGCGCTATTTTATGCTATGTTAACATGAAGTAAACTGGATATAAAATCCCCAAACAGGCGAAAACCTACCAGTTTCCCCCACTGTCTCTGCCACCTCCTTCCATGCCTGGTTCCTCTGGTTTCTATCCCGGTAGGTGAACAGGGTCACATCAAATAATACAGGGTGATTCGCTACCGCTACGATTATAACCTCGTCCATTTTATTTCAAATATAGACATGAACGGCGGGATATCTCAGGATATCTCTCCCAGCGTATGCGCGGTTTTTGATTGGCTACGGCTTGAGCTGTCAGATTTTCTGAAACGGGATTTGATTGGCTTACGCTCACTTGTCAGGAACCGAGAGAGCGTTTCGTGCGTAAAAAGTTCAACATTGTTCAACTTTTTACGCGCGAGACGCTCTCAAAGTTACGCTTGCCTTCCCGTGATGCAGTTCGGCGAAAACGTGAGCGGACGTGACGTCACCCCATTCAAAGTGAATGGGCAGACGCGCTAGAGGCGTAATTTTACGCCTGAAACGCTTGTAGTGTGGAGGGCCCGTTAGGGGGAAAGGGGGCCGGAGTAGTAATTAGTGGAGTTTGTCGAGAAACGATGTGTTTATGTGATGAGACTATAATCCCAATTCGGTGAAGATCCTCAGCTGTTTGTAGGAAAACCTGGTCTTGGATATTTAGATATGGCCCAGGATTGTTGTTCGTTATGCTTTTTTGTTATTGTTTTAATTTGTTTAAGTAGATTTGTGATGGCATTGTTACCCGTACGTAGCCCCTTGGTTGCGTTTATCACAAACAGGAGTGTGCCTATAGGCCTCATGCTCACCTCATGAGCATAGTATATTTTAAAACGAAGGTAGCCTAATCCAGGAAATACAATGCCTAAATTATGCCGTTCATTCCATTTAATTATATTCATGTAGACACATTAATTAGATGGTCCTCCGCTCCTCCCTAAAAACGGAACGTTATCATATTGTGATGCAACAATCACGTGCATTTATTTGGTTTCATAATGTTAGTCATTATGGCTGAAGATATAAAACAAATTGAAGCCAACTGAAACCAGTGCAATTGCAACAAGGCGGCCGCCTATGTCTGACACTTTTAAACTGTTTAGAACAGTACTCCTCTTCATGCCTGAAATAATTAAATGGAGGCCCACTTTAGAGAACACGTGAATTGTAAATAAATACAGAGACAACATAACAATTTGTAATGAACATTTTATTGGGGTCACGAAGGTCAAAAACAGGATACCAGAGGTTGCGCTAGACTTTTTCACTGCCCGTCAAAATCCAGAATTACCCGTCGGCCTTTACACAACTCTGACGGGGGGGAGAGTTCACATGCGCCGTGTTATGCATGGCTGCTGCACCTCGCGGGAGAGTGCACAGCGTAAAGCCAAAACTCACAGACATTTCAATGATTTGTACGGCACAGTTAGGTTTGGAAACGGTATAATTTCCTTTTGGAGGGCATGCATAACACGGCATAACACCAGAGCCTCGGGGAAACTTTGGCGCTGTTCCGAGTTTGTTCTAATCAGTCAAAATGACGGACTGCTTTCAGATTTGTCCGTCAATGTTAAAAAAAATCCGTCATAGATGGAAAATATTCGGTTAACGCGACCTCTGATGGATACTCACCTGCTCACCCAACCCAGTCTCACGGCATTTCGTGTTCACCAACACGATTTTTAATCTATTGATTCGTGTTCACCAACACAATTTGCCCCTTTTTTTCGTGTTGCACAGCACGATTTTAAAAGCAATGTATTTCTACTGGTAATGTGTTTCGTGCCTGCAGCACGTCTTTTTCTCCGGTCGGGTCGAGGAAGACCGGAAGCTGTGTGGTTCATAAAAACATGTTCTTACTCAATATCAAGCCACAGTTATTGCTTTTATTTGAAATCGTATAATTTCGGACTTTTGTTGCCGTCTGTGAGGAAAATAAATGGGGCTCAGAGCCTCAGGATACTGAAATCTGTATTTTTTAAATCTTTTTTTCCTTCTAATTTGTTATTCTTTTCAAAATAACACACCGTTATTTACTCACCAATAACACACGATTATCCTTGCTTTTATTTATTGGTTTAATTCCATAATCTCTGGCTTTTTTGGCGTCCGTCAGGAAATGAATTTCAAAATAAAAATAACCGGAAACAGACGTAGGCATTTCGAGCGATTACCCAAGATCCTCAGCTATGGTTTTAAGCTGGCTTATTGGATGTTTTAGCCGCAATGCATGCTGGGATTTGGTGTTTATATGATATGAAATCCGGAAAACATTTTAAAAGAATAAAATAATACATAATTCCGAGCGCTCTTGCTTTTCTCTTTGGAAGTCATCACATAACGGCATTTTAATACACGGTTCGGCTGCATTGTATATTACAGATCTGCCGTAGTTCTTTATTTATAGAGCCCTGATGAGAAGACCTTTGGAAAAACTGAGAAAATGCCGCCGAAACTGAATACTTGACGTGGATCATAAATATATTCAACAATTAAACAACATCTTCAATTTCTCTTCACACAATATGTCTCCTTGCAGTATCAACACTAATTCGGCTGACTTTTACATTTGATCTAATTCACAGATAGGTTATATTTACACCATAACGGTGCACAGCTGATATAAAAGGACTGTAGTTTTTAAAGATATTACTGATTTTCTTTGAATGTAAGAATGTAAATACTGAGTCTGAAATAGTATAGCAATATGCTTTAAAATTATGTGAAAGCATGCATAAAACTACACATCTTCAGATGTTGTACGAAAACAAAAGTGTCCTACACTAATAATACAAAGTTATTATGGCTGTGTGTACCTTGTGTGTACCGCCTAGTGGTTAAAGCACGTTATTGAATTATTGTGTTTTATTTGATTAAAAAAATATTAAGAGTACATACTTTCATAGGGGGAAAGTATAAATATAGAATATAAAAAATCAAGAAGATACTATAAGTGATCTCTACAATAAAACAGTTTAGTGCAGAATGTACAAAGATATTAATAGGAGGTGCAAAACAGAAAAATGAATTAACCTTTATTTAAACATTAAATAACAGATTAAGGTCTTTTAAATAAGAAAACAACTTTGGGGGTATCTATCTACAGATACATATTAAGCCTGACAAAGTACTTAACGTCTAATATATTGCTTTCCTGCAATGTTAACTATGCTGAAGCACTTATTTTAACTGATATTATACATATGGATTATACTCTTATGTATGTAGATAGAATAAGAACTGTGCAGAATATGACAGTTTAATGGTGGAGGTACACACATATTGATAGATGTCTTGTAATGCACTGTTGAGGAACCTGTGACCCAAGTGTTTCATTCATTGCATAACTACACCGTAGTTGTGTATATGATATGTCAATAAACCTTT